GAAAAAGTAGTATTTCAACAGTTGAGTAACTTCTTGCATTTAAATAACTGTTTGGATGTGTTCCAGTCAGGATTTCGTCCAAACCACAGCACTGAGACTGCTCTTGTAAAGGTCTTCAATGACATCCACTTAAACACAGACAGTGGCAGAACTTCAGTGTTAGTATTATTAGATCTCAGTGCTGCATTTGACACTGTTGACCACAACATATTACTAGACCGACTAGAAAACTGGGTGGGACTTTCGGCAACAGTTCTAAATTGGTTTGAGTCCTACTTAAAGGACAGAAAAAACTTTATTTCTATAGGTAAATACACATCTGAGTTGACAAATATGACATGTGGGGTACCTCAAGGCTCCATCTTGGGGCCTCTTCTCTTTAACATCTACATGCTACCACTGGCTCAGATAATGAAAAACAACAAAATAAGTTACAATAGCTATGCGGATGACACACAAATTTACGTAACAATTTCACCAGGAGATTATGCTCCAATTCAAACACTGAGTAAGTGCATTGAACAAATCAATGACTGGATGTGTCAGAACTTTCTCCAATTAAACAAAGATAAAACTGAGGTAATGGTTTTTGGAGCCAAGGCAGAACGTATAAAAGTTAGCGCTGAGCTTCAGTCTGCAATGTTCAAAACAACAGATAAAGCCAGAAATCTAGGTGTAGTCATGGACTCTGACCTGAGTTTCAACAGTCACATTAAAACAGTTACTAAATCAGCCTACTATCACCTAAAGAACATATCTAGGATTAAAGGACTAATGTCACAGCAGGATTTGGAAAAACTTGTCCATGCTTTTATCTTCAGTAGACTCGACTACTGCAATGGTGTCTTTACAGGCCTCACTAAAAAATCTATTAGAAAGCTGCAGCTAATTCAGAACGCCGCTGCTCGAGTCCTCACTAACACTAAGAAAGTGGATCACATCACTCCTGTTCTGAAGTCTTTACACTGGCTTCCTGTGTGTCAAAGAATAGATTTCAAAACATTGTTGCTGGTTTATAAAGCTTTGAATGGTTTAGGCCCAAAATACATGTCTGACCTACTGCTAAATTATGAACCATCCAGAACCCTCAGGTCTTCAGGGACTGGTCAGCTTTCTGTCCCCAGAGTCAGAACTAAACATGGTAAAGCAGCATTCAGTTATTATGCTCCGAATATCTGGAACAAACTCCCAGAAACCTGCAGGTCCGCTGCAACTCTTACTACTTTTAAATCCAGGCTGAAGACTTTTCTTTTTGCCGCTGCTTTTAATTGAACTATTCACATCTTAAACTGCACTGTAACTTTTAACTTTTATCCATGTATTTTTTCTTTTAATGTTTATTTTATTATCTTTCCTTTTTAATGACTGATTTTAAATGCCATTTTTAAAATGTCTTCCATTTTTGTAAAGCACTTTGAATTACCTTGTGTTGAAAGGTGCTATATAAATAAACTTGCCTTGCCTTGCCTTGCCTATAGAAGAAAAATAAAACAAATCAATTTGCAAAAAATAGTTTGGTCCATTTTGTCTTATCTGTGTATTTTGTTTATAAATAAAGGTAAAATAAATAAAATACACAGATAGGACAAAATGGACCAAACAATTTTTTGCAAATTGATTTTTTTAATTTCTTTTCAGATTTAGTTACAGTGCTGCCTATTAGAAATGTCATAGAAATATATACACATTTTATGAATAATTGGTCAAACTTAATAATATAAAATGTCTACATTTCTAAAGACCAATCTGACTTAGAATTACAGTTCACATACTCTATAAACCGTCTTTTAACATCGCGTTTCCGTGCGCATGATAGCTGCCTCGCGTATCTTGCGAACATTTGGAGTGTTTGGTGTGCAGCTCGTCAGAAACTAATGTGACACAAATGTGTGTTTACAAACCGGTACATACAGTATCTGTCACGGCGGTACAAGGTGTGGACCAAAAAGCACGGAGGCAGACACAGGATTCAAGTACAAAAAGAGTCTTTACTTGATATGTAGTTTCAGATGCAAATAAGTGATGATTCGACACACCTGAAGCTTTGTCACTGCACCTTGCACGGTTGCAATGCTATCCCAGTGACAGTATGGAATGGAGTTAGGAATGCTGCTGCTTGTACAGTCTTTTAGTCAACATTTGTATGAGACTGTTTCTTTCCAATTATAACGAAATCCTAACCCTAATGGAAAGGCAGACAACTGCTCTATATAATATAAGTCAAATAAAGTCTCGTCAAAAAATCCCCTGTTCTACAACTGCTTTAAACAAGCAGTTATTAAAACTACAGTTTTTGTATTATGTATACCTCCATGATGACAATACTGCGTGGAAGTCAGAGGAGTAACGAGAGTTGCTTTAAGGGGTGTGTGTGTGTGTCTGTCTGTGTGTGTGTGTGTGTGTGTGTGTGTGTGTGTGTGTGTGTGTGTGTGTGTGTGTGTGTGTGTGTGTGTGTGTGTGTGTGTGTGTGTGTGTGTGTGTGTGTGTGTGTGTGTGTGTGTGTGTGTGTGTGTGTGTGACATAACTACCTTCATTTTGTTGTCACAGAGACATATCATCATTATTTAGTGGGAATGCTGATACAGCATTCCAACTATCTGTTCTTCGACGCACAAAATTCTTTATTATTCCGCCAGGTTATTTTGTACCTCTTCTTCTCCCACATTCCACATCGCAGGAACTCCGTTCAAACATCAAAACGTGCAGCTCGGTCGGGAATCGATTGCTATTACTTTTCTTATTCATAACTTTCATAATTCCTGAGATACATCCCATAATTCATCACATTTTTAACATGGAAGTCAATGGAGAAACTCTTCAGACTTGAACAATCTTCATGCAACTTCAACTGCTAACTGCTCCTTCATACTTTCACTCAGAAACCTCATTCCAACTTTAAAATGTTACACATCTTTCTGACATTATTCGTGTAACACAACTAATAAATCTGATCCACACTTTTAGAGATATTAAACATTGTTCAGACCTTGGTAAAGAGGCCTTCTTCAGATTTTAGAGTGCGTGATGTCACAGCTAGAATGGAGGACAGATTTAATTTTGCCTTCATATTTTCTTTTAAACCTGCCATAATTCCCAAACCCTACACACCTGAGACATAATTTTTCATGAGAAACGTAGGAAAACATCTCGTAGCTTGAAAAATAAAAAAAGATTAAGCAAAATAATTAAACAAAATGCCTCTTGAGGGCATGAAGTGACAAAAACGTTCAACATGTCTCCATTAAACCCCATTGTAAGTTCAGCCTCATCTTTCCCCACCACAGCAGCCGCACACCTTTAGTTAATCTGCCAAAAAGGCCACACTATTAACCCGAAAGTACACAAAAAGCACACTTCAGATGCTCAAGTTCCTTCACATGCTTCACGCTTTGAAATTTCACCGATATCTGTTACGGTTCTTCAACAACACGTTCACATGTAAGAGGTTTATCTCTCATTCAGAACAATGAAAATGCTCTCCTCTCACTGATTACTGCACATCACCATGGAAACCTCTGATCTCTGTACACGTCGTTAGCTCAAATATAAACACCTGTGTCATGGAACACGATGATGTCATAACTCCAACTGACATGCTCAGAGCAGCAGACTTCAGATAATGGTTAACGGTCCAGCCCTCAATAGCTCTACGTCAATTATGGGGTGTCATCATATGCCGTTTCCATGGAAACGCATCCCTCGCCATAAAAGACGATGTCGCTATAACTCCTATGAAAATATTCAAAAAGTGCTCAAACTTCACATGTGTGCTAACAGTCCAGCCGTGAAGACATCTACGGGACAGTTTTGAGATTTCTTCAAATGCCGTTGCCATGGCAACACAATGCTCACCATGAAACACGGTTTTCTCATAACTTCAGTGAAAATGCTCCAAACGGCCCAAAACTTCACAGGTTTGGTAACGATGCTGCCATCAATGCATCTAGGCGTATTATGGGATGTCATCAAATGCCGTTGGCATGGCGACAGATCACCATCAAGTTAGTTCAAAAGTTTGCAGTTCAAATATTCTGCTGCTTTTCCAGGCCTTTTTTACTTTCTTTTCTTCTCTCATCAACACATTCAAGCCCCCAGTGTTCATGTATCATTTCAATCTAAATTCTTCACTTTTTTCTTACACTTTACATGTCAGCATAGCAGTTTAGCGTCAGCTTTTCAGCATAAAGCATTCCCACTAGCAATTTCTTCAGGAATTGCATTCTCTAGTTATTATTGTTATTATTACAATAATCTTCATTTTTCTCCATAACAATAATGATACGGGGTAGATGGGGAGTAAGACGATAGAAAGGTGTCTCTAGGATCACATTTTATCGTAATGACACTGACATAGACCAACAACGTTTATAAAAACACAAACATCACTGTGGTGGATGGTGAAAAAATATATAAAATTCACATATCAACTGTAATTTATTGTTGTAAAATGAGAAAAGTGAAAGATAATATTTCCCTATTTGTTTCTAGACGGCAGGAAATCCATTGACAACAATAATCAAGTGTTTGTAAGACAACATGTCAATTTTTCTTTTGCCGTTAGGTTGTGACCGATGGTTCACATATTTGCATTTTAAATAAAAAGTGTTCAGAGTCCATTCCCTCACTGTGAGGCAGAGCTTATAGGCTATTTACAGCTTTAAAAGAATGATGCTAGGGTTCGACTCTGAGGCTGTTTAATACAGTACAAAACAATTATAACTTAGCAACTTTCCCACAATTATTTTCACTCAGGCTACAGTTAACCTGGTCCACGAGTTGAAATGTTCCCACAGCATCTGTCATCAGCAGTAGCTATACAGTTAACACCCTTGTTTGTATTTTCACCATGTGCTGTGTGCAGCACATTGTAGACAACTTATTTTAACCTTTTTATGAAAAGGTCAAATATATAATCCAGGATATGTCAATATGTAATTTGTGATATTTGAAATGGCACCAAAGATGAGGTGATGACAATCAAGTGTTTGTATATATTCTAGATAAGGTATATAAAGAGTGCTTCTCTTCCAAGACCATTACACAACTCATCACACTGCTACAGCTGTACAACTTCATCTGATCATCACAGCAAGGTAAAGGTTCAGTTTCTTAGTTTATTTTAACAATAATAACTGTCAAACAAGACTATAGTCCTTGTGTTCATATATATATTTTTGTAATATGTCAAGGACGAAAAAAGTATGAAGTGTTGTCAACTAACTCTGTAATATATTACATTTAACTTGTTAACATCGCTGTTCTTTACATAGATGGCGTCAGTTTTCCACTGCATTGTGCTCCTTTGTTTGACCGGTGGACTGTGGATGGAGGCAGACGTAAGTGATATAAGTTATGCTTAGCTATGGATAATACAGTGGTAATGACTTAAAAATAATATCATTGTTCCATCACCTGCAACATTAGTATTTTGAAATATTATCATTATGATTGCACAGTAGTAGTCTCTTAATTGACAATGAGACAATGTAAAGTGATGTAATACTCAATGGGGACAGGGACTCAAGTCTCATGATAAGAACGTGTTCAGCCCCCATAGCTTACATTCACAAAGTGCGTTTGAACACAGATACTGCAGGGAGTTTAAGTAAAGAATGAATTGGTATAATGACATTTTGGGCAATGCTTCTAGTGTTGTTGTAGTGATTTCAATCTGAGGCTCAACCATGAATCAGGATCTGTTCATTCCTAATAATGCGTTCTTTACATTCACAGGCAAGTTGTCCCATAGGAAAAGGTTGGTACATCCTACTGGACAGCATTTGTAGGCTTTCATTGCTTTGATTGCATTCTAAGTTAATATTTACGAGCTCAAGCATAGAGAACTGCACTCCTCAGTTTAAGACCAACAGTAAAAGTGCATTTGAAAACATAATTCATATATGTCCATATACTGTATAATGTAGCAAAGAAAGTATATCTAATCTAAGGCCCATTAGTATTTTGTTAAGTCTGTTTTTTTTTTACAATTGTGTTGTAGGTTGCCCCCAAGGTTGGTCTCTGCTTGGCTCTCGCTGTTTCATCTTCAACTATGAGGAAAAGGAATGGGCTATTGCTGAGGTACTTTATACAATTACAACAATAATACAGTAACTGGAACACTAAATCTTGGCTTATTCTCTGAAACAGATCAAAACAAACATTGTTTGCCTGTCCATACTTTCACTGACTTTGTTTCCCCTCCGTAGAAATCTTGCACTGCCCTGGGTGGTAATCTGGCTTCCATCCAAACGCACGTTGAATACCTATTCATCAGACAGTTGGTGAAAACGGCAACAGGCAAAAATAAACTTTCTTGGGTTGGAAGCAGTGATGCTGTCAAGGTGAGATTCATGTCTGCTAGTCAATTTGTTTAAATAAAATAAAGGTGAAACGGCATTGTGAGAATTCGCACAATTGTATGCTCTGGTTCAGCCTTAGAGTAAGTAAAACGTTTTTTTTGTGAAAATGCGTACACTGATAATCCTCTTTCTTTCAGGACGGTGTGTGGCTGTGGAGCGATGGCTCTAATTTTAAATTTGGCGGCTGGGCAAAGGGGGAGCCAAATGGTCAAGGAAAGGAAAACTGTATGGAGATTAACTTTAGAGGTAAAAAACTATTATTTGTTCTTTATCCTCTTTAGTCATACTAACAATGTTTACTAGATACATTAATTAAGTGTTTGTGCTGTTTTTGATTGTTTTCAACATACAGAATCTGACTACGTCAACGACTCGGTGTGTTCTGGGAAGAAATCGTTTGTTTGTTCTGCCAACTCATCTCCCCTGGGATAAAGATGTTAAGTCTTCATTCAGGATGTCACTTCCATCAGGATGTCGGGCCTCGATGACATCAAGGTTTCAACGATTGATTGACTCTTCTGATTGGCTTTAACTTTTAATCAATAAACGTATGCATCCTGCTAAGTTCTGTATGACACCAGTCTGTCGTAATAGTTATTTGTCATTCTGTACTACAACACTAAAGCTTACAGAGGTCCTGCAATAAAAACCTAATGCAACAATGTCCTCTGCTTGTTTCATTAACTGGTGATTGTACTGATGTCATTTTCTCATTTCCTGAGAATCTTCAAAAGAAATGTGAATTAATGTTCAATATCACCCCCTACCTTTTTGGGAATATTAGGATTAAAAGAGTACAAATACACTGTTATTAAACCCCTGCATTAAAAAGAGTGTGTACTCAAAAGAGAGCCCATCAAAATGAAACGTTATTTATATTATTTTGAAATCAATTTGAGAAACATTACAGGTCTCCTTATTTCACAGCTACAGTAAGTTGAACACTCTATTGTAAATGGTCAATTTCAATATTTTATGTCTGTTCATATTTGTTAACAATATTGAACAACAGAATGTTGCTAAAGATGCTCTGATGTTGCTGTAGGACCACTTTCAATTATTTGAACCTGCAAAAGAAGTCTTGTCAATATAAAAACAGCTGTAGCCAAAAAACACTTTAGTTTTTCCAGTAATCCATCAGAACACACAATGCAATACTTTTTGCAAATTATTTTTACATGAGGACTGAATTATCCATAGTAAAAAAAAAAGAAACAAGAATAAAGTGTAGAAAAGCCAGAGAGTTCTAAACACACTCCTGGACATCAGAGATATCAGCACAAGACCAACAGGTATGACATGGAGAATGATATGTGAGAAATGCAGAGAGACAGTGCAGAGACATGCAAAAGTTTAAGGATGGTCAGACAAAAGTTGAAGATAATGCCCTCTTGCTCTTGACGAGTACATATTTCACATGTTTTTAAATTGGTTCAGAAATCAAACGGTTACTCTGAACAGTTTTTTCTTTAAGGCTTGGTATAGTGACTTCACAATGTTTATTGAGAGTTTTGTGAAAGGAAAATCTCCCTTCCTCGTGGAGGAGATATGGCCTTCACAACATTTCTAGGCAAACATCTAACTGAATGTTTGTGTCTGTGTGGGTTTTGTGCATTCAGTTTGAAGTGAAGAGTTTGGCTTCCTCTCCATGTGATGCGTTTTAATTAAGTGAGACCCATTGACTAATGTTGTAGTCAAGAGTGACCACCGTAACCAAGACCAAGTCATGACCAAGACCGGAGTGTACCAAGACCAGAGTTGGGTGTAACGCGTTACTGTAATAATATTACTTTTGTCGGTAACGGAGTAGTGTAACGCGTTACTTTTATAATTCAGTAATCACACTACAGTTACTAACATTGCCCCGACACGCGTTACTTCGTTACTTTTATAAAATCAGTCATAATCACACTGACAGACAAGAGGGGTTTCCGCCGCAGGTTTATATGTACATAATCTGCGCGACCTGCGCGTCCACATCTCCACGTGCAGTGCTGCATAAACATGGCTGAGTCAGCCGGGCCGGCCCTGCGAGTAAATTAACGAGTAAAGCAACGAGTAAAGTAACGAGTTACTTTATGTAGCGAGTAACGAAGTAGTGTAATATATTACTTTTTTTTAGTAACGACCCCATCTCTGACCAAGACCAAGACAAGACCCAGACTTTAAGAGGTCGAGACCAACTCAAGATCAAGACCAAAGCAGGGCAAGACCAAGTCAAGACAGGAACCCGTCTAGTTTGAATCCAATACACTTCAAAGTCAAAGTCAACCTTATTGTCAATCTTCCAGTTTGTGTGTACAGCAGTGGCGAACCGTGTCTATCACAACTGGACCTTCTGTAGACACACACAAACCCCCCGCCGCCGCCGCCGGCCCTTGAAGGCCCTGACGGTTCGCCACTGGTGTACAGACAGAGAGATCGAAATACCGTTTCCCACAATCCCGAATATAAAAACAAATGTATATAAAATATGTGTGCAAATATGTATATATATATACACAGATTCAAAGACACATTTTTACATGTGCACACATTAAGACTTAAATAAAAACACAACAATCAATATGTACAAAATAACAATAGCTTCAATATTATGAGAATGTACATTAGTGCAGATTGTCCATATGTGCATTATTGCAAGATTGTCCATAGCAGCGTAAAAAGTGTCTGGTGCTGAATGTCAGTGTTTTCAGTGTTATAGTCCAGTGGGGGCAGGGGGGAGAGGGGGGAGAGGGGGGAGAGGGGGGAGGGAGGGGAGAGCGTTCAGCCTTACAATAAAATATGGAAGATACCATAGTCAATTTGATCTGAAAGATCCACATCATCATAAAAAAACCCACATTCAAATGTAAGATGTCAATTAAACTTCATCATATTTATTCAAAAAGTGATTATTTTCATTTAAAAACAGCAAATTAGTAATATCTTAATATAAAACATGGTGATATAAATTGTAAGGTTTTCCAAGTGTCTGGAAAAGTTGGACATAGTCCCAGCCGTTTCTGTGAGTGTTAAGCTTCACGTGGAATGACTGGAGATGAGAACCCGCTATGCAAGCACTTAGACTGAAACTGGTGAAGTGTCAAAAATGGGCTTTATTTAGACCACGGCACAGTCAAGGAGTTGCAGAGGACGCTGAAGGGGAATCCTGGAACCGAGGTTCAGACCGGGACGAGGAACTCAGAGAGGGGAGACGAGGAGCAGGACAGACCAGGGAGGTGGCTGGACGTGGCAGGCGGAGGAGGTGTGTGGATCTGGAAACAGGAAAGAAGCAGGGTTAGGAAGGTAAATCCTCTCACTAGGAACATCAAAAAGTTTACTAGGCAAAAAATGCTAAGTAGGCCTGGACGTTAGTTTACCACTGAAGAATAAACGAAGAACTGGCGAAGACTGAGGATGAGAACCAGGGTTTTAAGCAGGTGCAGGTGAGTAGTGGCAATCAGCGAGATGATCAACAGCTGGAGCGGTGTGGAGACGGAAATCCAAATGTAGGTCAGCCACGCCCAGCCAGGAAGACAGACAGACAACAACAGAGGAAAAAGAGGAAGGCCGCACTGTGGATCCTCACAATGAGGGTCACATTACAGTATTTACACACTGCCGACTGTTTTTACTTGAGTGTTGGTGGGCAACTGACATTTTTGTGGTTTGTTTATCCAAATCGAATTATTGTTTAATTTCCCGACATCTTCACAGACCGTTTGAGTGTGTGTGAACGGGTCGGGGAGAGGTGAGAGGGTAGCAGCCGTTATAAACCAGTCCCATGTTTACAAACATTGCAGCGAATAAGTGCAAATATTTTGAGTCTCATGAGTGCTTGAAAGTAAGTCTGTGAAGTCACGTTATTGGCTGCATTTGAAACAGGGAGTTTTACATCCAATCACATCCCCAGCCACAGCAGTGGTCTTGACCGATCTTGACATAAAATCTCGAGTCTTATAGGTCCGAGACTGAGACAAGATGGAGAACAAATGCAGTTGATTACGAGATAAGACCAAGACCTTTAAAAAATTGTCTCGAGACAGGTTTTTGTTTTAAGATTCTGCTCCTCACCTTTAAGTCTATCCACAAACTCACTCCTCTGTACCTCTTTGACCTCCTGCACATCAACAAACCCAGGGGTGTAGTGCTATTTTTAAGTACCAGAGCGCACCTATGACTCACACATTTAGTATCCTATTCATAGGAACACGTTTTAAGTGGGGGTAGACCTAACATCCTCTAGGGGGGTCCGAGAGCATGCACTGGCAGACAGTTGGTTTGCTTTTACGGTCGGCTAAACATATTTTACAAATCACTCCCTTTTTAAGCTGTACTTTTGTTTTACTTTCCTATAGCATGAATTGGAATATTTTATTATCAATATTTCATTTATTATCTTATTTCTTTTAGACCTATAATGATCATCATCTTGTGCCTTGGAAATACTTGTTTACATAAATCGTGAACAAAATGTTGGTGACCCACTGAGATAACTTAGACTAAAATTAATTAGCTAAACATTCAGAGCTTCCTTTACTGTACATCAACTGAGCTTTAGTTATCTGAAGAAGATCCTCTCAGTCTGACTCTGAGCTGTAGTTATCTGAGAAGAGCCTCTCAGTCGGATTCTAACAGGAAAGAACTCTTCGCTCTCTCTCTCTCTCTCGCTTGCTCACTCACTCCCACACACACAAAGAGCCAAGCTTGCTAGCTAGCTCCGGTGCGCTCCAGCAGCACTACACCCCTGAACCCACCCACCTGCACTCTTAGGTCTCCTGCTTCCTTCCACCTCACTGCTGCACCCTTCTGCTTAACCACCATGGGATCCAGAGCCTTCAGCCGCTCTGCATCCCGCCTCTGGAACCCCCTTCCACCTGATATCCGTAATATTGACTCTCCCCATCTTTCAAAACAGGTTTCAAAACATATCTCTTCTGACTGGCATATCCACCCTGATCACAATTCATCACACATCTTCCGTTTTGATTGATTATAGGTTCCAGGTTCAAGGTTCAAGGTTCTTTATTTTTCAAACGAACATAGCTACAGTGTAGTTATGTCGATGAAAATCTTGTGTCACAGGCTTCTCCAACAGTGCAACACAAAACACAGATAAACAGATAAATAGTAAATAGTAAATACAAGAAGAAAAATAGTTTAAAAAGGTGAAATAGTGAAATAGTGCAATAAGAGTCTTCATTGAAATATGATATATTAGGTAAATAGATCAATAATTTTTAAGTAGCAGCAAGATGAATATTGTGGATGTTGTTTCAACAGTTCAGGTGTTTAACAGTCTTATTGCCTGTGGGATGAAACTGTCCCTGAGTCTGGTGGTTTTAGTCCGGATGCTGCGGTAGTGCCTGACAGACGGCAGCAGACAGAACAGTGTGTGGCTGGGGTGATGGGGTTTTTTTATAATCCGGAGGGATTTCTTCCTGAGCCGCTGGGAGTAAAGGTCCTCCATGGATGGCAGCTCCGTCCTGGTGATGTTCTGTGCAGTTTTCACCACCCTCTGTAAAGCCTTACGATTGAGGGCGGTGCAGCTGCCGTACCAGGCCGTGATGCAGCCAGTCAGGATACTCTCTATGGTGCACCAATATACAGCATTGTCTTGTTTTTTGCTGGTGTTTTGTATTGTCTTTTGCATGATTTTATCTTGCACAGCAACATTGAGAGCCTTGAAAGGCGCCTATTTCATACAATTATTATTATGATTATTATGAGATAATAATAATAATAATAATAATAATAATAATAATAATAATAATAATAATAATAATAATAATAATATTATTATAGAAGAAAAATAAAACAAATCAATTTGCAAAAAATAGTTTCGTCCATTTTGTCTTATCTGTGTATTTTGTTTATAAATAAAGGTAAAATAAATAAAATACACAGATAGGACAAAATGGACCAAACCATTTTTTGCAAATTGATTTTTTAAATTTCTTTTCAGATTTAGTTACAGTGCTGCCTATTAGAAATGTCATAGAAATATATACACATTTTATGAATAATTGGTCAAACTTAATAATATAAAATGTCTACATTTCTAAAGACCAATCTGACTTAGAATTACAGTTCACATACTCTATAAACCGTCTTTTAACATCGCGTTTCCGTGCGCATGATAGCTGCCTCGCGTATCTTGCGAACATTTGGAGTGTTTGGTGTGCAGCTCGTCAGAAACTAATGTGACACAAATGTGTGTTTACAAACCGGTACATACAGTATCTGTCACGGCGGTACAAGGTGTGGACCCAAAAGCACGGAGGCAGACACAGGATTCAAGTACAAAAATAGTCTTTACTTGATATGTAGTTTCAGATGCAAATAAGTGATGATTCGACACACCTGAAGCTTTGTCACTGCACCTTGCACGGTTGCAATGCTATCCCAGTGACAGTATGGAATGGAGTTTGAAATGCTGCTGCTTGTACAGTCTTTAAGTCAACATTTGTATGAGACTGTTTCTTTCCAATTATAACGAAATCCTAACCCTAATGGAAAGGCAGACAACTGCTCGATATAATATAAGTCAAATAAAGTCTTGTCAAAAAATTCCCTGTTCTACAACTGCTTTAAACAAGCAGTTATTAAAACTACAGTTTTTGTATTATGTATACCTCCATGATGACAATACTGCGTGGAACTCAGAGGAGTAACGAGAGTTGCTTTAAGGGGTGTGTGTGTGTGTGTGTGTGTGTGTGTGTGTGTGTGTGTGTGTGTGTGTGTGTGTGTGTGTGTGTGTGTGTGTGTGTGTGTGTGTGTGTGTGTGTGTGTGTGTGTGTGTGTGACATAACTACCTTCATTTTGTTGTCACAGAGACATATCATCATTATTTAGTGGGAATGCTGATACAGCATTCCAACTATCTGTTCTTCGACGCACAAAAATCTTTATTATTCCGCCAGGTTATTTTGTACCTCTTCTTCTCCCACATTCCACATCGCAGGAACTCCGTTCAAACATCAAAACGTGCAGCTCGGTCGGGAATCGATTGCTATTACTTTTCTTATTCATCATTTTCATAATTCCTGAGATACATCCCATAATTCATCACATTTTTAACATGGAAGTCAATGGAGAAACTCTTCAGACTTGAACAATCTTCATGCAACTTCAACTGCTAACTGCTCCTTCATACTTTCACTCAGAAACCTCATTCCAACTTTAAAATGTTACACATCTTTCTGACATTAATCGTGTAACACAACTAATACATCTGATCCACACTTTTAGAGATATTAAACATTGTTCAGACCTTGGTAAAGAGGCCTTCTTCAGATTTTAGAGTGCGTGATGTCACAGCTAGAATGGAGGACAGATTTAATTTTGCCTTCATATTTTCTTTTAAACCTGCCATAATTCCCAAACCCTACACACCTGAGACATAATTTTTCATGAGAAACGTAGGAAAACATCTCGTAGCTTGAAAAATAAAAAAAGATTAAGCAAAATAATTAAACAAAATGCCTCTTGAGGGCATGAAGTGACAAAAACGTTCAACATGTCTCCATTAAACCCCATTGTAAGTTCAGCCTCATCTTTCCCCACCACAGCAGCCGCACACCTTTAGTTAATCTGCCAAAAAGGCCACACTATTAACCCGAAAGTACACAAAAAGCACACTTCAGATGCTCAAGTTCCTTCACATGCTTCACACTTTGAAATTTCACCGATATCTGTTACGGTTCTTCAACAACACGTTCAAGGTTCAAGGTTCAAGGTTCTTTATTGTCAATCTGACATAGCTACAGAGTAATTATGCAGTTGAAAATCTTATGTCACAGGCTTCTCCAACAATGCAACATAATAACATAACATAATAACAATAAGAGCAAGAGCAATACAAAAATAATAATAGTTATAAAAATGAAATAAAGTTATGATGTGGAATAGTGCAGTATGAGTCTATATACAAGTTATTGGAATGATATATATATATTAGGTATTAGATACATACTACTGAGTAGCAGTTGAATGTTTGAAGTTGTTTCAACAGTTCAATTTTTTAACAGTCTCACTGCCCGCGGGAAGAAACTGTCTCCGAATCTTCTTGTCCTTGCCAGGATGCTGCGGTAACGTCTGCCAGACGGCAACAGAAAGAACAGTTTGTGGCTGGGGTGATGGGGGTCTTTGATAATCCGTAGTGATTTCTTCCTGAGCCGCTGGGAGTAAAGGTCCTCCATGGATGGCAGCTCCGTCCTGGTGATGTGCTGTGCAGTTTTCACCACCCTCTGTAAAGCCTTACGATCGAGGTCGGTGCAGCTGCCGTACCAGGCCGTCATGCTGCC